CCAACCGAGTGTTTTGTTTGCGAGTTGACATTTCATCCGTGATGCGTACACCGAGTGGGATGTAGTTGCCTAAATAATAAAACTTATTTACTTGCTCTATTAATTCACCAATTACAATGAGTCTGAGTGTGTAGTGGTTTACCTTTTCATGGGGCACGGAATTTCGGATCGCACAATATTTGTGGCACCGATTTCTGTTCTGAGAGCTTAATCTCACCGACAATTCCCATCCGTTGGACCACAGTCTGGAAGAAGAGCTGCACGAATGCTGAAGCTAGTTAGCTTCTGTCAGCCACAATCCAGGTCATGATCCGATCCAGTAACGTACAAAACGTGCGCGGCAAGGTACACGTTGATTAAGCATCGGTAAAACATGAAAAGTAATCGGAGACGGTGTACAGGAATTCTTTCTTTCAGGGACCAACAATCAGTACCGAAAACACGACTAAAGCCTATTGTACTGCAGAAGAAAAAAACACGTACACGTGAGGACAGGAATAGCGAGGATCGATACCATTGAACAGGATGGTCCCGTGGTAGCCAGAGCGGAAGCGATATTTACAAACACACGCACACTAAAACGTAAAATTCAAACTAGGAATATGACGGCTTCGGCTAAATGGATCGAGTAAAATACACCAGATGTATGCTTTAAGACATTCACAAATTTAGATGTTTTCTGTGTGTACACCTGACTGCCATCCGGGACTTAAAAGTTCAAGTGTGCATTTGGGGAATGAGAGCAAAGTATTTGCGCGTAGTGGAACAAGTATGAAACTAGTGCACCCGGGTTGACGAAACCCATAGAGTGGGTCACTCGTGACCGAGGTTACGAACGTTATGCATTCGTCTCGAGGACGATGGACTGGTTTTTACTCCATGCCGAGTTTCGGTCTCGGTTGTGACCGTGGATTTACTTGAACGGTACTAGCAAAGATCATCGTCACATGTTTCATTCAAGCACATATTAGTGATGCTAAATCAAGGAAAGAAATACGGATCGGCTATGAACTCCCTTTTTGTGGAGTCGACTAGCTTCATTCTTACTTACACGTATACACGATGGAAACCAAAAGTCTCCAATCCCTCGACAGGCGTTGCAGATCGGCACAAAACTGGTGCATGGGTGAAGAAAGTGACAAATCGGCAAATAGAAAAGAATGTTATTCGGAGACCGGGTAGCGTATCATAGGCCACAGCCTGGATTCAGATATCGCCAAGTTGATAGCAATATTGTGTGATAAACACCTTACTAGGAAACAGGAACACATTAAATAAAACAAACTGTTGAACAGTTGAGATAATGTTATTGGAACTGGCAAACTACACAGGGACCTTCTCAGTTGGTCTGGCATCGGATTGAGCAGCTGAGGAGTCGGTCAAAATGAATAACCTCGAGTTGGGTTGACGAGGAACAGCGAAACAAAGGGGAATCACTAATACAACCACTCGATCGTCGACGATCTGTGTATTGTCTTGGTCTTGGTTATTCATACAATCGCCAAACCACGGACCTTCAACCTGACTGGAAATGATTCAAACACACGGTGT